ACGAATTCTCAACGTTTTTTTGTTGTTTTTCACTCGGCGCGGTATCGTACGACGTTACGCAGGCCAATGTTTACCTGAAGGTCGGTGCGCTCTCACTCGCTCGCCGAACGTCGAGCCGGCAGGCAGTGGCGAGAGTCGCTCCGTGTGTGTTATTACTTTTGCTTTATCGGTTTCCAAGACTCGATCGCGACGAATTAAGGGATAAAACGCTATTGATTTGAACACCTTTATCAGTAACAAGTAACGTTCCTCGATTAATTATTAACTTTCTACAACTTGTAATGAGAAACGAATTGCATGTCGAGGCGACGGCTGTTTATCAACGTATACATAGATATTTCACGAGACTAACTCATCTAAAATATTAATGTAAACCGTGGTACTTTGTCGCGATTACATCTCGTTTACGTACCGCGCTTTTAATTATCTATCGATTTCGTGTAATCTGTTTAATTTTCGGGAAAAGAGAAATTTGTACGACTCCGGCATTCGCGCTGTAATTCGCTCTGTCGTTCTTCGCAACTCGAACGGGCAGGGAGTAAAAAAGTCGCTTATCGCACGTCGTTACATTATAGAAATGTAATCGAAAATTATCTCGATTAACTGTTGCAATTAATAACAACTATTTATCGCTGGAGATTTCGCTCACATAATTTATTTTGAGGATTAGATTGAATGACAAAGATTGTAAAATAACGTTTCGTTGCGGATTAATAACTACTTCTTTACCGCAGATTATGTTTCCGATGCTCGCGTTGGGTTTTATATCGCCAATTCAAAAGTGATTTATCCATTATCCTATTCTTCCGAGTCAAGCATACAAGTTGTTAGTTTGAGTAATTTGTGTGATAGAGAGTCACGCGATATTTGTTAATAATATTTCGTGCGTTTCGCGGTATTTCACGTCGCGTACGGGAGTGCCCGAAATTTCGCGCGATCAATGATTTTCGCGAGTGTTGTGTGAGTGCAATAAGGAAATCTGAGAGGAGGAGGAGGCCCAGAAGGCATCGGGCAACGGCAGAGAAATCGTGAGGTAAGTGTCTTACATTTTGATGTTATATGCTACTTGTGCAAGATAAAACATCTGTTGTGTTTTTATTTTATTTATTCAAATAAATTTATTCAAATGATTCGAATAAGCGTTAGAGACAAAACCATACGTATAAAATTTTCTGAGTTTATCTTTAAAAGGAAGACTTTTTCAGTATTCTATATAATTATTTTAATAAATATCTATTTTTAAAGATATAAAATATAAAGTATATTTCATACAAATAATTTCAATTTTACATGATTAGTCTATAATAATCATATGCATATTTGTATTTTTACAGTTAAACATATACAGGGTGTCTGATGCAAAAGTAGCCAACTTGAAAATAGTGGTAGATTGGGTTAAACTAAAGAGAAATATCATGTGCCGCGGTACAAATGTAACAATAGTTATCGAGTAATTAATTTACACGTTTGAGCGAATGAGGATGCAGGAGACGGTAGGCCGGACTCGGAAGGCATTTAAGAAAATCGATCGATGAGCCGGAGGTGGAGCGACGCGCGAGATACACCGTGGTTGGAAAAAACCTAGGCGCGGCGGGTAGCGCGGCGCGGGCGGCGAGCACGGCAGCGAGCGCGAGCGACGGGCGACCCGAAACATAAACATAGTATCTCGCGCGTCGCTCCACGATCCTCCCGCTCATCGATCAATTTTCTTAAATGCCTTCCGAGTCCGGCCTACCGTATTCTGCATCCTCATTCGCTCAGACGTGTAAATTAATTACTCGATAACTATTGTTACATTTGTACCGCGGCACATGATATTTCTCCTTAGTTTAACCCAATCTACCACTATTTTCAAGTTGGCTACTTTTGCATCAGACACCCTGTATACATACCTAGTTAACGATGTACAACTCTGCTGTTGCGAATCGTCTCAGTGAGTGATAAATTACTATTTATTTTAAATTGACGTTACGCATACAATTACTTCTTTGCATCTATACAAATTCTTAAAAATACACAATGCTCAACTACAAACTGCGCGCGCGAAGCGCGCGTTTTGTCATTTCTAGTTTAGTAAGAAATTCATTGTTTGATCGTGCGTGTAGTCGTACATTTAACTAAAATATTTTCTATCAGACGTGTCTTGATATAATCGTAGCATTTTCCTCAGCGCGTTAGACATATTATTTATTTTTAGTTTTACGAACGTTGACTTTTCATTGACATTTTTCATATTTAATTATTAGTGTAATACTGTTAAAAATCTTAGAAATATATTTCTTTTTGCTACTAATTGATCATTTTAAGTAGCCGCGTTAAAATGTTTTTTGTGCAAATTGACAAGCTATTTTGATTAGATGCGCATCGAGTATAAGACAAAACTACCGCACTGCAGCAGTCTAGTTCTGCAAAACGGATGGAAACAGCGTGATACAAAATTTGTTGCAAAAATTCAATCAAAGAAACAATTTCTTCGTTCAGTCGATGTCGCCTGTGCAATTAGTCAGAAAAATGAATATGTAAAAGTCATAAATTTTAAAAGCCGCCAGCAGGATATAAAATACTTTGTTTCACAAAAACGTGGCATTTTATATATCAACAAAAACACACATCTACCGGCGATTAATTCGTTCTAACGGACAATGGAAAAAGTACCAATTTGTAAACTATTTTGAAGCAGCAACGCTTCAACAAAGACTCCCCAATTGTAATCATAATTACACCCTTAAGCGTTCACCAACGCGATTAGTTTTATATGCAACTGTACACATATCGAGGAATAATAATTAGCAATCAGTTAACTCCTTCGTGGCGAGAAAGATACTGATGCGACAATACGCTTCTTATACGTTTCAAGAGAGATTTGCGCTTGCAATTCCTGGACCAGCAGTGAATTAAGTGCATTTTAATAACGGCCGTCTGAAAGCGTAAAGACACGCGTCTTTGAAAATGCGATGACGGCGACAGTGTTTTCAATTTCGCGCTCGAGCGACTTTATTCTCCGGGGAAGAGCGTTCGATCTCGCGCTCCCCCAAAGGGAACTTGCGAGGTCCATTTGACGCATCGTTTGACAAAGAGATAGAAAAAGTTCTCCCGGTTTTCTATAGGAACGTCGCCATCGTCGCAATTAATTATTTATCTGAGCGCAGCTATCAGCGAAGCTCCAAAGTCGAGGAGAGCTGCTCTCTCTCAGGCTGGGCGAAATTAACGCGCATTTCCATCGCGCGATACCCGACCTCTTTCGATCCTCTAATCGGGACGAGTGCGCAGCGGAGATAACGTTTCCGTAAAACTTGGCAAAACAAACTGTTCTAAACGGGGAGGAAGTTACGCTGTTTCCTTTCGCCGTTTCTTTCGGCGCGCGCGGAAGCCGCGCAAATCCAAACGGAAGATCGAATTTCGAGCGAGAATTATTCGATACGATAATCCTTCCCTCCATTACGATTCTATCGCAGCGCACGCTTCGGGGGAGGGAGGGGGGGGGGAGAAAAAGCCCTCTGCGCGATATATATCGACGCAAAAGGATTACATTGCAAAATGAAATTCTCAATTCCGCTCGGGGAATTTTCTTTTCACGGGGAAGCCCCGCGTTTAAAGTTTGCGGGGCTGGTGCACGAGCTGATAATGCCCGTTTGACGTGGCTTGCGAAATATAAACACGAGTTGCGGCGCGTTTCCCGGGCGCAATGTTACCTCCAGAACTAATTTTTCCTGAAACTTCCACCCGTCGTATTAAACAGAGGCGCGCGCGCAATGCGGCTTTTCCAAATGAAGTTTCCGGAACTGTTCAAGAAACCGTCCACAGTCCGCATAAGGATCACGTCTTGTTCTTACCGCTCCACTTCACGCTAATATTAATAATCCCGCGTCTATGGCGTCTACCCGGAATACCATCCAGAAGAGCGCTGTTAAAGTTTCGGCCGTTCTCAAAGCGAAAGTTGAAAAATCCCTTACACTCGGCAAGATTCGTAGAAATATATGCATACGTAATATTTATTTATTATCCATATTTGTTTTTATTTAAATATCTCGAATTTTGTTCGTTTAGAGTCTTATCGTCCTACGCCCGTTTCTACCAGTGCAGATCAACTTTGATCCCGGTTTAACTTACTTTTCATTTTTTTCCAGTTTCGGGAATTGAAAAAAAGATGAAAAGTAAGTTAAACCGGGATCAAAGTTAACTTGTATTGGTAGAAATGGGCATTAGATGTACAAACATGTCGAGGGCTAAACCGCTGACCAAAATCGTGTACATACACCAATGCCTACTAACGCCCAGATTACTTTTTCTTGTTTTAGCTTTTTAGATTCTTTGTAATCCCGGATTCACAAGTCGGTGAAGAATCCGGCGAATATTGAAATCAAGTTGAGATCATGTGCAAATCAAAAACAAGTATTTCACATAATATCTGGAAAATATTCTGTAGATGTCCACGATCTAGTCATATTAAAGTCAAATCAACAAAATCGTCAATAATTGGTCGACACTGATATATCTTCTATGCATCGAATTGTTAAGTGCACGTCTAATAGATATCGACAAAGTATCATGCGGATCTTTTTACGAAATCAATGAAGAATTTAGTCGTCATCTAATCAAATGGTCCGAAAAATCGTGACCGATGTCATCGACTTGTGAACCTGGGATGCCCCAACAAGGCCAAATAACACCCACCAATGCCCAAAAAATGCTTAGGCCCGGCTTCACCAACGTTGGTTAACTTTAAGCTTAGCTTAATTCGTTCTTTGTCTCTTTCCAACCGGGCCTTAGTAATGTCCTCAGTGGTTTACCCCTCGAAACATGCATGAAAAAAACACGAAATTTGTGATCAATAGATAAAAGAAACATTGCAAAATTCAGAAGAGTAAGATTCTTCGTATATAGATTTCGGAGTAACTTCCAGCCGGACGGATTTGGATGTCGAGGGAACTTGGTATTTTAATCGAGGGTTTGACGAAGTAACGAATCCGCGAGATTAAACGAATAACGAAGTCACTTACTTTGACTCGTCCTGATCGTCGTCGTCGTCCTCGGAATCAAAGAAGGCGTCGTCGTCGTCGGAGTCGACTGATGTTTCGGCCCTCATCCGTCGCTGTTGAACCACGCGAGATTTCGGAATCACTATGTCCCTGAAAACACATTTGTACAACATACGATTAGTATTCACCGCATTTAATTCGACGTAGAAAAAAAACCGAATTAGTTTAAAACGAGCAATTCCGCTTTATTGTTTCGCAAACCTCATTCGTTTTCCGGTGCATCGCTTTCATTTTTTAATCGTTGAAAAACTATAGTAAGATATCGTCGAACACGAGGCAACCGTGTCGTGGACAATTAGTAATGAATGCCCTTGCGTCTGTCCAGCGTGAAAGTCTTGCAATAATTAATGAAACAATAAAACAAGTTTTTTTTTCTCCGCACAAGAAGTAAAACACGAGCTCGATGGTCCAACTTCAAATCCTAATTGTTCTATCTCGGGCCTTGGGAACTTTTGCAAGAGCAATTCAGACGCGCGCGATTTGCATAGAACCTACTTTATTCGATGAATTAATGCTCGTTATGAAGTTTCGTGTCCTACAACCCTGCCGAGGCACTGGAGATACCACGCCCTAGGAATTACAGACGCGAAGCGTGAATTAGCTTTGCGCGGGGCAAAAATTAAACGGCCATTATTCGAACTACGTTACCGAGCTAAACTCCCGGTATTTAAGCGGCGCGCCATTCTAAAATCGAGAGTTTCGAGCCGGCGACGCTCGTCAGGTTGACGTAGCGCCCGCTTTAGCACAATCAAATGAAATGCATCCGGGAATTTAGTGCTTTTCCGTTCTTGATTCGTCGCTGAAGAGATTGCGTCAACTCGGTAGATACCAGTTTCTTGTTTCATCGCCGTGTTATTATTTTATCTGCCCGCGGCTGCGAGACGTTGTAATTGCATTTACGGCGGCGAGTCTGTTATCAAAAGCAATCCTTCGTGATTATTTAACGTGGCGGTCACTATACCTTTGCGCCTTGAGAAAGTCTAGTGCTTTCGTAGGCAAAGGAAATTCAGCGATGTCGAATTTCAAAGTTTCCAGAATTACGCTAACCACAATATTTCTTATTTAAATACTAACATAAACATTTTCAAATGTGTTATTTAAGAAATGTATTTCGTGCAAGACAAAATTGGAAAATTATCATCGACAACTACGTTCGCGTGCGCAAAAACTTGGAATAAAATTCATTGACGAGTTCAATGCATAACTTGAGGATTCTTCAAATTATTTTGTTACAGCATGCACTTTCAATAATATTCTCGTCGTTGTAGGCTCACTTAAAAGATTATTAAGGCCCAGTTCGAGTGGCCAGTTGCTTAACCAGTTGTTAAGTAGTGAAGTCAATCACTGAAACGAAATTCGGTAAGCTATTTACAAGGTTAGATTTTGACAAGTTGCATCTTCGAAAATAAGCTTAAAAAAATATATATATAACCTTGTAAATAGCTTACCGTATTTTGTCTCAGTGGCTGGCATCACTACTTAACAACTATAGTTAATCTAACTGGCCACTTCCGAACTGGGCCTAAATTATTTAATTACATGAACAGTGATGGACAGAATGGTCGCGACACTTTTTTCAATGAGTTTAGGAAACGCGCATTTAGATTCAGATTTACGTTCCAAGACATTTTCTCCGAGGAAAATTTTACTTGCGAAATAGATCGAAAACGCTCGAAATGGCTTCGGAATGGCCGATCGGGTAAAATATTCCCCGGAGAAGATTTTCTCCATCATCCTCTCCGCTCACTAAAAGTCAATCAGTGGCTTCTCATTGAAAACAGTGAACAGCCACTGATTTAGTTATAAGTGTACCACCGCGAGTTTCAGTAGCACACTTATAATTGCAAATTAGTTAGACTGTTCACTGTTTTCAGTGATAATCCACCGATTTACTTTCAGAGAGTGAGTCCACTGTGTCCTCGTATAGCTGGCAAATTGTTTAGGCATGAAACCCCGACATGTCGAGAGTCCGATCGAACGCGGAAGCGGGATCGACACACGAAAGTGAAACCCGCTCCGATCAACTAGCCGCGCATGGCCGGCGGAATTAATACCGAACAGGGGCATCGATTTATCAAGGCGAGCCCATCGGGCTGCTTAGCCGTTAATGACGCATTAAGGTCATTTAATGTCGTACGGGTGCTTCAAGATGAATACCGCCGATCGAGCTATCTGTATACGCGGGACGTGTATGCGCGCATACATCGTCCGTGGAAATGTCCAATTACAGTTAATTGGCAATAAGCACCGCGCGGGGAATCAATGATCACCGGGACGGCTTCAGTCGATCGGCGGTTTAATGCCGTTTCGCGGCGATACGATATCGTCGTTAATATCGGCGCTGCTTAATGCCAACATCGGCGACGTACAAACGCCAAGAATTTCGGCGATTCGGCCCCGCGAGATTGGCGATGGGGCGCAAGTGAGGGAGGGTATTTTTTAAAGGTCGCGAGTGGAGCATCGATCGACAATTGGCGCGTTATTGTTGTTTGGAACGAGCAAGTTTGGCCCCGCGTAACGTGGATCTTCCTCCAAGAAAGATCGGTTGCCAAATAACCACCGAAGATTTAGATAAAGACTTGAGTTTAGCACATAAAATGATACGCCAAAGCTTCGCGACGCAATATGAGAAATCATGTTAAACAGCGCATGCGATGTTTGAATTTTACAACAGATCGTTTTATCTTTGTTAGATTGCCTCGTGTTACAGATGCTTAAGATAATTTAATAAAGATGGAAATGCCAATAATTTGCTTTCACAATATTGACTACGCATCAATACTTTATCTTTAATATTTAATTAAGTCGGATAATAATCTAATAAGTACGCTACACAATAAAAAATATCGATGATGGAGGAGGATTAAATCAATAATTTCTCAAGTAACATCTCTGAAATATATAATACAATATTCTCATGTTAATATAATACAACGTTAATTATTCCAGTTGCTTTTTTGTAACTTCCTTGTTAAAAGATTTCAAAGATTTCACCACCAGCGGTACTGATGTTGTACTGAACCGAGAGATCTTTGTTCTTAATTATATATTGTACAATATTTAGTTTTTCGTGCAGAAATGTTGTAGCTCATTAGATTTTAACATCCGCAGTAAGCGGACCTCTCATCTTAAAACATTATTTTACTCATAAAATTTATGCACTTCGAAAGCTACAACGAATAAAATGTCTCTTGTTCGGAAATTACGTGAAAATTTCGAAAACTAATGGAGGGACTTTTTACTTTTATTATCTACCGTCGCGCCAATTTAACTCGAGATTATGCGAATGAATAAACTCGATATTTACCCTGATTTGTGGAGCTCCTTCTTCGAGACGCAGACAGCCGTGAACGTGTCCTCCAAAAGACAGAGTTCCTTCTTTTTGCAGTTGAGTGGGCGACAAAGCTCGCCTGAAACAAACAAAAATAAATCGGTTTTAAACTCTGGCATTACAGCGATATACTATATACTTCATCCATTATTCATTATTCTATATAGAAGTAAAAGCATAAAATGTATGCACTTCGAAATCTACAACAAATAAAATGTCTCTTATGCTGAAATTATTTGAAAATTTAGAGAACTAACAGAGGGACATTTCACATTCATTATCTACCGTTGCCCCAATTTAACAGTTACAGAAGTAAGATTCGCTTTGCGATGCCAGAAGCAATTCGCGATAAAATCAATGTTGCTTCATCGTGTCTTGGTTTTGTCGGATAATGCTTTCTTCTTAAAACATGAGATCACTTTCGTCTTTCTTCTATTCGTTATTCTTTTTTAGCACAATTTAAATGGTATTCATCATAATAAATGTCTGAGAGATTCACTTATAGGAATAATTCAAATTTAAATACTTCGGATGGATTTCTGTAAGATATTACATAAATTTTTTATAATATTTTTGTATATCGATAATTTTCGGAGAAACTTTAAGACCACCTCTTAATATTATATTTAACTTAAAATAATCCAAATCAATGCATTGTTATCCTATTCGAGTTACTAGCGTTATGAATGCAAGAGTTAATTACATCAATGATCTTTGCGGCGATCTTCCTGCAGTGATAAATCAAAAGAGTGTTTTACCTCGGAGAAGAAACAGTAAACAAACGTCGCCGCGTTTCACAATTATTTCTCTGAGCTGAACGAGCGCGATGATAATTCGTCGTTTCAGTCATTCGCGTGCAATAAAGGAAAGTCGCGATAACGATGAGATCGATCGGTATCGCCGCGTTAATCAGACGGATTTTTCCATCCGCGAGGCCGAAATGAGATGCACGGACCCGCCGTGAATGTACGTCCGCCATGCGCGCTCCGAGCCAGGCGAATTTTCATTCGCCTGGAAATCGCCGACAAGCGATATTGGTCGTTCGAGGGAAGCATACTTCCACATCTACTGCATCCAATCGGAATGCCGAATCGGATCTTCCTCTTCTCCATTAACCGGCACCGAACCAAGCGCATCGCCGATGTTTTCTCTTCGCCTGCTGTCCTCGCAATCAATAACGGTACCCCACTTCAACCTACGGCTCTTTAACGTATGGCAACCGAAAAAGCAGCGCGCTGACGTAGAGCCACAGCTTGCAGGACCGCGTGTACTGCACCTGATAACGTACTTCCTACCTCTAAAAGATTCAACGTCCTTTTCAGAAAGTATGACATACTTTAATAGTTTTATTCGCAAACATTACGCACATCTGTATGATTTTTAATATATGTGACTGTATAAATATAGCCGCATATTCATTAATTTTTTTTCAAATTAATCGACAATGACTTAAATTATTATAAAAACTTATTTAATTAAAGACGAATTGTAATGATTTTTTTCACTGCAAATTGTACATATTTATACACATATGTATATCTAAATAATTAATAAATTGGTATTCATATACTCTAAATCTCCATTATACAGGGTGTCATGTAATACCCGCCTCACCTCTTATTTACGGATAGAGCGGATTAAACTGAGTCAAAAAGTTCTCTACCATTTTGCAATTTTCGCAAAAGTTAACGAGTTACTAATTATTAAAAATTGTTGTCTTAGCGACCGTCCCGCGATTGGCATTGCTAGGCGCGCGGAGAGTCGTTTATGACACACGGCAACGGCTTTTACAGTAAACAACTCCCCGCGTGCCTATAGCAACGCCAATCGCGGGACGGCCGCATCTCGCCGGGCTAAGACAACAATTTTTAATAATTAATAACTTGGTAACTATTGCGAAAATTGCAAAATGGTAGAGGATTTTTCGACTCATTGTCAGTCTAGTTTGTTCTATGCAAAAATAAGAGGTGAGGCGGATATTACATAACACTCCGCATATACAGTACCTGAATGGCTTCTTTTGGAAGTCATAAATATTTTAGAATAAAAAAAGCTATCATTTTAAGACAACTGTGCGTGTAACCTTAAAAGTTTGGAATATTTATAAATACATAATTCTCCCATGGTTGTAAACTATTTGACGTTTTACTTAAGCTTGACAGAAAGAACAGCTAATTAACTAATGATTTAATGTAGAAATTGCTTGTGATAACAAATAAGGTATGCTCTGCTTACGCAATTAGATGATTAATTCCTACTTGACATTTCTATACGCGTGTTGCTTGCTTTCACTTGAAAATGCACAAGAAAGTCATTGCAATTTGGAAAATGCGCGACAACGGAAATAAGAAATAAATGAGCATTTGACGACAAAAGCGAGCTTTCGCATAAAGCATAAAACTGGCTAATGTCCAGCTAAAGTTGCCAGCGTTTTTGCGCCGCACTATAATACAATATTGTAAAGAATTGTAGAGACAGAATTTCGTTAGAGAGAGTTACGTCGTAATGAGTTTGTGAAAATCCGACACGTAACGTACATTATATTGCAAATTCTAATATTAAATTTTTTTTTAAGAAGCACAATTATATATTCTTTTGCAGAAAATAAAAGGTAACAAGCTCTATACACGTACAAGATAATATAACATTATTTGAACAAAAACTAATATGCCTTTTAACGATGTAATAAATTGACCTCACTCGCATTAAGTTGGCGTATCAGACATACGATAATTAATTTAATTTGACACACTGTAGTGAAATTTTGCTAGAAATATGATAATTACAATTCAGCGGTGGTAACAGATACGATAGTTACATTATCGTTATTATTGCTAAAATAATCGCGTGATTCAAACTAACTAAACTGTGCGTGTGCGTGGTTACCAAATGGAAATAACTCTTTGGTGCAATCAGTTTAGCCACTTTGCTTTTATGTAATTAATTGTAAGTTCATTTGCGAGCTTATTATTATATTACTTATATTATTACATCGCTATGACGTAAACAACATTACGAATACCATTACGAACTCATGAAAGTTTGTTTGCAATATTCACTTCCGTACGACAATGATGAATATCTACGAAGATCTTCGCGCGCGCAGCGGTCTTCAAAATCTTATTTAAGGGGATGCTGCAGTGATTCTGCACCTTTTGCACCTTATACATCTTATTCGAGTGAATAGACTTTTTGTTAGACTTCTAAACTTCATTTCAATGATACCACGCTGTTCTCTGATTTCGTTCGAATAGTGGAACACCGTCGGTCTGTACACAAAAGCCACGTACTTTGTATATTTCACAAATTCCTGTGGTTTTCCTGAATTCAGTTCTAGGAGCAGAAGGTGCAAAAAAATGCAGAATCATTCCAGCAAAGGTAATACCCGCCTCACCTCTTACTTTGGGATAGGGCGAATTAGACTGAGTCAAAAAATCCTCTACCATTTTGCAACTTTCAAAAAATAGTTAACGTATTATTAATTATTAAAAACCGCTGTCTTAACTCGGCCTATCGCCCAATGCAAACGCACGGCGAGATGCGGCTGTCCCACGATTGGCGTTGCTAGGCGCGCGGCGAGTTGTTTACTGTAAAAGCCGTTGCCGTGTGTCATAAACGACTCTCCGCGCGCCTAGCAATGCCAATCGTGGCACGGCCGCTAAGACAGCGATTTTTAATTATTAATAACTCGCTAACTATTACGAAAATTGCAAAATGGTAGAGGACTTTTCGACTCATTGTCAGTCTAGTCCGCCCTATCCGAAAATAAGAGGTAAGGCGCGTATTACATAACACCCTGTTTAGCGTACGTTTTCAATTTTACGTATTTTTATTAAAAAGACGTAATGTTCCAAACTATATTTAAAAAAATTTACTATATACGTATATACACAGACGCGCGAGTACAGATTTACACAAAGCCATTGGAAAATATAAACAGCATATCGCGAATAGAGTTGTGAAAATCTGAGTTCAGCACATTTTATATTTGACAGCCATTTAGGAATATTTCGTAACGTGCCAATATAGCGTAAAATCACTCGACATTTCATCTCACCGAGTCGGTACGGAGCACCCGTGGCATAAAACAACCTGCACGCCGAGAAAGAAAACGGTCCTCCCTTTAGTAGATAAAAGGGGAACCCCATCCTATTCCGCACGTTAAAGATTTCAAAATATCCAATTAAAAGTTTCTCCTATGACGCGAAGCTTGTCCTCCGGCGCGGTAGAAGTAATATCGCGGGAGATTCCATCGGGTCGGAATTAAAGTCGACCGTACATGAATTAAGAAGACCTGGACTCTCTCCTGACGGCTTAATTTCGCGGGATTACATGAGAGAGGGAAAGGTTTGCTGTGTATGCATGTATATATTATATAAGACCTGTCACGTTTCCGCTCGTCGCATATAACTGAAAACTTTCTGGTGGATCGAGGGGAGACGAAGACACCACGTCCCTCGCAGCCACGTTCCTCGCGCATTGTTTGGAATGAACGTTCCGCGATAAGATCCCACACACTACAAAACCGCACTTGGACCAAGTTGGCTGGGTGAAGAACGGTCCCGAATGACCATGGAACCAGCGCGTTTCGTTTACTGCACCCTTAATCTTGTATCGCGCAGTACCGCCAAATTCGAGGTACACGTTAAAATAAAGAAGTATACGTAATTACGAGGTACATAAAAATCCACCAAAATAGGAGGGAAGATATTTTTCCCGGTATATTAGCACAAGGTACAAGATATATGGGGTGATAATGAATATATAACGATCAGTTGGTGGTGCCGCTCGAGGTACCGTCTATAAATTCACGGTACATTTTTTAGGAGGTACAAGTGGTTCCCGTACGTACCTCCTAAAGTAGTACGAGGTACAATGTACCTCCAAACGCCTGTCTCCATGCCAACGAGAGTTAGCTTTTGTTACTATCTTCCTTCGTGTCGCACTTGCGTGATCGCATCAGCTAAAGACACGAGGTGCACATTACATTATGGACGCGTTTCGTAATACAGATATTCGAGGCATTTTTCGTGGCCAGTGGCAAGAATTACGCAATTTACATAACGTGGATCAATCTTC